CTACATTGTTGCAGGTGGATAAGCAAGCATTTTTAAAGTATGTTTTTCACTGATCTGTGGCTTGGGAAATGTCTGGCTACAGGTTGCATGACGTTGGGAATATATTCAGGGGATATATCACTATTTACTTGCTTTCAGCTTATACATATTCTTCCTCAATTATCCACTTTTGATTACTGTGAAGAACACAATACTAGGCTAGATGGATCTTTAGTTTTAACTAGTATGTCTGCTGTTATGTTTAGAGTAGTAACTTAACAAAATTAAAAGAATTGGAGTAGCTTTCTTAATGGCTTCAGTTTAAAAACCTCGATAGTAGGGCCAACTGTTCTGAAGGTTCTGGGACATTATGAATGGATCTAACCTTGTCACTTAACGTAATATTGGAAATCTTTATGCTGCCAGCTAGTGGCTATCACTTGATCTGTGTTTACTTATCCTGAAATTCTCTACTGGTTCTCTTCCAAATTTAATTATTTTAATGACTCCTTTTGACTACAGATTTACTGCAACTTGCTGGATGTTTAAACGATGTTCTAAACTGCTTGTGATACTTATCCCTAGTTAGACTGTAGTGCACTTCTGTGTGTGAAAAGTCGTGGAACCATTTTATTTTGTAAAAAATATTACATTTGTAACTACTTACTTCTAATGCTTGACCAGAAAGATAAGCTTTACTACACAATAGGGGCATCTACTGTTAAAAATAAAAAAGCAACCCCAAACCACAAAATCCTGCAGTTTCTAGGCTTGATACATTCTTTTATTAGACTTAAGAAAACTTATTTGAAGGGTCTTATTAAAATACTTAATGATACTTACTGGTGAAGTCCAGTGTTCTTTGCAGAAAAACAGCTTCTAACATAGTGGAGTAATGTGGGTTTGTGTTTTTTTTTTCTTTTTTTTCTCTCCACCAATTCCTTAGGTTATTCCAAAATTTATATCCTTGTTGCAACAGAACAGAAAATGGTATGTAATTTGCTTTTTTCTTTGTGATATTTGTGTTATAAAATTGTAATTACAGTTATAAATATGTGGTATAGTTTGTAAAATGATAATTTCATAATGAAGTTATGAATTGCTTATTTTAATAATAGGATTTCCTTAAACTAAAGGATTGTTTGCATGTCAGCTGCTTAAAGTACCTTCAGGTACCGGCTAACTGCAAAACTACTTAAAACACAGTCTAATAAATTGAATGCTTCTGTTTAAGGATTAACAAAAATTTCTTGCCTTTTCCTGGTTTTAGCTGTATTCATGGTTCTGGACTTCAAAGAAGGAATTTCCTTTATGCAACTGATGTGGTAGAAGCATTCCTTACTGTCCTGAAGGAGGGGAAGCCAGGTGAAATTTATAACATTGGAACTAACTTTGAGATGTCCATTGCCCAGCTTGCTAAGGAGTTAATCCATCTAGTAAGTAAACAGTTCTGATGCTTTTATTTACCAGACATTGCACATATGAACAATTCTTCTATAAACCTTTTGTAGCTCTGGGAGAGCTTAGACTTGCGCTGGGTCTTGAAAGTTAATTGTAGCGAAACAATGCGCTACCCTTCCTGTGGCAGCTGTACTGTGTGAGTTTGCAGTACAGGCTATCGTGCGTCGCACTGCTGCATCAGTTATCCCGACTGATGGCATAATGATTAAATACGATGGCTGCTTCAGTTTTAGTCTGAGAGAGTGGCACAAATCTAACAATTTGATTATGAATGGTTAGGCAGTGCTCAGATGAAGGACAAGTATTGGAATTGTTCTAGATAGTTTTGATAATTTCAGTAATTTGAAAACTTATTTCAGACAAAAGACCATTTCAATTTGTGTGTGTTTTTTTTTTTTTGAACAGACTTAAATTTTGTTAAAAAACCCCAATTTTTAAGTGTATGTTAAGACAGTGCAAGATGTGTGGGGGTATTTTTGTTTTTCTCTTGACAGATAAAGAAGACCAGTTCGGAATCTGAAATGGAACACTGGATGGATTATGTCAAGGACAGGTAAGGAAATAGCGAAGCGTATGCAGGATAGCTTTATCCTGAAGGTTTCTGGGACTCTTGCCAAATAGTTTTTTGTGCAAGGGTTTCTGCTCTGCAGGAGGGAAAACTTTTGAGGGAGTAAGAGCTGTTTTGCTTTCTTAATTTTCTTTTTGCTAGTGGATTTGGCATCTATGATCTGTACAGAACACTCTAGAAAACAGGATTTCCACTTAGTATTTGGATCTTTAGGTCAGAATATATGTTTTGAAGGGAAATGTGTAAGGCTAATCAGTCTGTCTTCAAACTTTCTTCAGACTTCTCGCTACTGAAGTCTGCTCTGGGAAAATGACAGGCTTTACACAGCAGCTAAATCCTTTCTGAAGGGTAGTTTAGATAGTTTATTCAGTACTTTGTGTTCAACATCACTTGAGTGAGATGAATCCCATTGTCTCATTTAGCTTTAGTATTTTGACATTAACGTGATTAGTTCAGATTTGGATGTGCTTTATAGGTAAGACCCACTCTTCACAGGCAGTAATATGCACCTACAGAGCGTAGTTAATTTTAGATTCCTATCTTAAGTTGAAACTGCTCTCTCAAAAGTAGATGTAAAACTGAGGCGCCAAAGTTAGGGCGGTGGCAATAATGGATACCTTTTATAAATATGCTTTTGCTGTGTGTTTCCATCGTTAATTTCAGGCTTGGTTTGGCTCTGTTCTTTTATCTTCATTTCTTTTCTGCAGCAACAATGAGTCTCTGCTTACTTTAGATATCACTCTCTTGCTCCAGAGTGATTAGAAATGACGTATCTGCTGATAGCAGTTAAGTATTACTATGGCCTTTAGAATTCTCACTTTCTGTTCACATTTGGATTGTAATTGTGGCAACTGAATTGTCTTGAAATGTACTAATTCTTGTTTTTAAAAGGAAATGCTCTTCAGAATCCTATCTGAGAGTATCACAGGACTTTAAACAAATTGCCTGTGGCTCACGTGATGGGAGTGTTCAGTAGGTCTCCGTGTAATTCAGATTGAGGTGTTTCTTCACGGGGCCTGTCCACTAATGTTTAAACATAAATGGGCTTGGGAAAACTAACCACATAGGAATACACTTTTCAAAGAATGTTGAAGTCTTATAAAAGATTCTTAAGATACGTAACTAATGATTATTTAATTCTATAATGAGTGACTTAAAGGTCATGAGGATTACTTCCCATGGAAAAATTAGTTCTGCTTCTGCTTGGGATTAGCATGTTTTAGTAACAGTGATATGTGTCTGGTTTTTGTCTGCACATATAGCTTAACTATCCAGTATGCTAGTGCCAGTAACGCAGGAACGCTAGACTAGACTACCTAACTGCCAGATTGTGGAAGTGAAAATTTGTGCCATGCTTAAATGTAGGGAATCTCCATGTTGAGTCTTGCAGCCTGGGATTCTACATATTCAGTATTACTGAGTTTGTGTAGCTAATGAGGCACTGTAGTGGCAGTGCTTTGGAAGTCTGTGTATTTCAGATCTGAGATATGTGAAAGCGTGTGGGCTTTCAGGATGAAAAATGTAAATGCTGATATTAGAAAACACTAGTTTGCGTAGTGACTGTCTAAAGAGTTGCAAGTGCACTGATTTGCACAATTGCATTGGCATTGATTTGAGAGCTTTGCATTTGTTTTTGTGCCAATAAGATATTAATTCATATTTATTCTAGTCAATTCCAAGTAGTTGACTGTACAAACTGAATTGTATTGTTGTAACTGCACTCAACTGCCGCGTATTTTTTGAAGGCAGTATAATCTGTTCATGTTGGTGGGAATTTTCAAAAAGCATGCTTAATGTTGGTTTAATTAATGAATTAATGAAAAAGTCTACTCACATTGTTTTCCATGTGCATTTTATTCTTCATCAGACCTACCAATGACCTGAGATACCCAATGAATTCACAAAAAATGCACAACTTGGGATGGAGACCTAAAGTGCCTTGGAAAGAAGGGATAAAGAAAACAAGTAGGACTGATGAC